AGGCTGCATCACGCATCTAGAAAGTGCAAAAAAAAAAAAAAAAAAGGAAAGAAAAAAAAAGGAAAACCCAGCCCTTTCAATTCTGGTTTTACAACTGCTTGTGCTAGTTGTCTGGTTTTGGTGTGGATTTAGTTCTAGTTTTGCTGAATGTAAATATTTCTGTCCTTAGCATGAACCCTGCAGAACTCATTTAACTGACAGGATTTGCAGCAGAATTCAGAATTTTTTTTATTATTATTTTTTGGCCAAAAAAAAAAAAAAAACCAACCAAAATTCAGTCCAGTGAAGTTGCAAATAATGAGTGAGCAGCCTGAGGCAGGAGGAGCTGCAGGATCCACATTCCTGAGGGGCTCTCCCTCATCTGCCAGCATCAGAGAGGGGAAAAAAAAATAAATCCCAAATGTGCCCTGAGCTGGCTGTGGGACAGGGGGAAAGAGCCTCAAGTGCAATAAATCCACCCCAGACCTGGAGGGGAAACCCAGGAGCTTCCAGTGCTGGGGTTTGGGGGAGAAGCTCCAGGAATTTCCAGTGCTGGGATTTGGGGGAGCAGCCCCAGAAATTTCCAGTGCTGGATTTTGGGGAGAAGCTCCAGGAATTTCCAGTGTTGGGATTTGGGGGAGAAGCTCCAGGAATTTTCAGTACTGGGATTTTGGGGGGGCAGCCCCAGGAGTTCCCTCCTCCTCCTCCTCCTCCTCCTCTGCCTGGCCTGGGCTTCATCCTGAGAGCCACAATCATGGAATTAATCTGGAATTCACCCCATGGGGATGGAATTTGTCCTATAGGGGTAAAATTCATCTTGCAGGGGATGGAGTTTGTCCTGTAGGCATGGAATTCATCCTTTAGGGATGGAATTTATCCTGTGGGGAGGGAATCTGTTCTATAGGCATGGAATTCATCCTGTAGGCATGGAATTCATCCTCTGGGGATCAAATTCATTCCCTGGAGACAGAATTCATTCACCCTGTGGGGATGGAATTCATCCTGTGGGGGTTGAATTTGTTTTTTGGGGACAGAATTCACCCCGTGGGGCAGCAGGGGGAGGCCACACTCCCACAATCCCAGCTTGGAATCTGGATCAGCACAATCAGCAAGGAAAACTGAACCACTTTGAGTCTTATTTCCTTTTTTTTTTTTTTTTTTTTTTTTTTTTTTTTTTTTCCCTTTTTTCTGGGGGGGGAATTCCTGCTTTCTTGAGCTGCCCGGGCAGGCTCAGGGTGGTGAGGAGGTTGTGGTGGTGGATATTCCCAATCCATGACTACTATGCAGTCCTTTTTTCCAGGCCTCACCTGGAATTTCACCCCCAGCTGAAGGATTTTCCCCCCAAAATCAGTGGGGGGGGTGGGGTGGGGGGTGTCCCCAGCATGGACCTGGCCCCAAATTCCCAAATCTCCCATTCCTGCAGAGCCACTCCCAGTGTTCCCCTCAGCCCCTGCCCCGTGTCCTGGCTCTTTGGGATGGATCCCACAGGGAACTGGCATGGCAGAGCTCTGGACACTTCATTTTTTTTTTTAGTGGGAAACCATTCCCAAATTTGTGCTGCTCTGGGCAGCTGGATGGGAGTGGAGCGAGCAGATTCCACACACAGGTCACGAGGGTGGGCAGGGCTGATCAGTGCAACTGAATTTAAAAAAAAAAAAAAAAAAAGAAATGTGAATAAATTAAGTTTAATCTAAAAA